CCTGTGCCCTGCCACGGCCCAGTGGTTTTACCTGGGCTCGGAGGACACCACCCCGGATCCTGGCACCAGCCTCACCACCTCCACCCTGGATGGAGAGGAAGGTAGGCAGGGTGCGATGGGGGCAGCACCCCAAATTCCTGCACCCCAGCATGGAGGGGGCACTCGGAGGGTGGAGGGTGAGGTGTGGGGTGCTGGGGTCTGGGGCTGCTGATGGCACTGCTGTGGCCCATGGCAGGTGCTGGGAACGGGCAGTGCTGCTCACCCCAGCCCTCTCCAGCCTTGCCACCTTTTGCCCCATCACCTCTTTGCTCCTGCAGATGCAGAGACCAGCATGGAACCCACAGGGAAGGTGCTACTGAGCAAACCCCCTCTGGCGAAGGCCTCCAGACGCCGGGACCACCTCGCCAGGGGAACAGCAAAAGGACCAGGCCATGCCCCACCACGCACACGAGGCCAGGTGCCTTTCTCTGGGCAGCATCTCCCTTCCAGCTCCTCCAGCCCTCCCAAAACTCCCCAGCTGCTACCGGGCACCTTGCCATGTCCTTCCCCTTATCCGTGCCCTGCCTGCACACACCAGCCTGGGCACTGTGCCTTGCTCTGGCCCCGAGAGTGACTCCCCTTGGAAAGGAGCCACAGCAGCTCCTGGTGTCCCCCACATGGCACAGCCCGACAGCAGTGCTGGGGCTGGGCCCCCACCCTGGGCTGGAGGCAGCCACGACTGCAGGAGGGTCCCACCTGCCTCCCGGGGCCCCCCGAACCCCACACTGAGCACTCTCTGTCCACCCCAGCAGCACCGACCCACGGCCACCCCAGCAGATCTTCGAGGGGAGCGCAGTGGAAGAGGAATTCCTGCAGATCCAGGTGGTGGAGGGGTCCTGGTCCCCAGGGGGATGAGAGGGGCAGCCTGGGATGGGCACCCTGGCAAGTGGGAGGGACTGGCAGGGAGGGACAGGGATGGTGCTCGGGGGTCTCACACTCAGCCCTTCCTCTCCTCCACACAGACGACAACGAAGGGGCTGCCCCGGGGGGTGCCCCCAGCCCCGGAGATGGACCCTGCCCTCCAGGTGAGGGGTGGGCACAGGGAACCCCTGTTGGACCCAACAGTCAGGTTCAGGTCCCTCAGCCCACGTCTCTCTCCCTCTCCAGGTGCACAACGGCTCTGGCTGTGTCTGCCCCGTGCGCCCTGGCCCTCCCGGCCGTGCCGGCCCTCCCGGCCCAAAGGTGGGGTGGTCCTTCCCAGGGAGGGGCAGGGGTGTGCGGGGGCCCACAGGGACACGCTGCAAGATGCTCTTTTGTCTATGCAAAACTCTTTTTGCTCAGGATTTGGAATGTGGCTTTGGGGTCTGAGTTGGGGGGTGACTCAGGTGGCCACGGGCAGGGGGGCTGCAGGTCCCCCTGGTGGGCTCCAGTGGAGGGAAGTGCCAGGAGCCCGGAGCCAGGGTCTGTCTTTCCTCAACAGGGAGAGAAAGGTGACCGAGGGTTCCCCGGAGAGAGAGGCCAGCCCGGAATCTCAGGAGACAGAGGGAAGTCTGGCAGCCCAGGACAGCCAGGTCACCAGGGTCCCCGGTGGGCCCCCGGGTTCCTCCGGGGCCGGCCGGGACCCCCGGGACCCCCAGGCACCTGGGGAGCCAGGGAGGCCCAAACCCGGCGCCTGCCTCCCTCCCGAGGGATTGGAGAACGAGGTGAGCGCCGGGGCGGGCGACACGGTGCGGCGTGATGCGGTGGCCGCCCGCGGTGTCGCTCGCCGGCTGGACCGGCGGGGACAGGGAGGGCTGGCACGCGGCCGTGCGGGTGGGCAGCCCAGGGGAGGGGGCCAGGGCATGGGACACGGCGGTTCACTGACCCTGCTCTCTCTCCTCTCCCTCCAACCTGACGAGCAGCTGGGACCCTCCAGCCCTGTGGGAAACCCGGGACCCCCAGGCCCCCCCGGGCTGCCCGGCATGCCCGGACCCCCAGGCTACCCAGGCCATGATGGCCCCCCGGGGGTCCCTGGGCGGGAGGGAAAGCCGGGACCCCCCGGCCCTCCAGGGGCTGTGGGACCACCCGGTTTCCCCGGGGCTGAAGGAACTCCAGGGTCTCCAGGCTCGGCTGGGCCAGATGGACCCCCGGGGGCACCAGGGCTCCCAGGACCTCAGGGCCCCCCCGGGGTGCCAGGGCACGAAGGACCCCCCGGTCCCACAGGGCCTGCATCACTCCCTGGCAAACCAGGGCTCCGAGGGGAGCCAGGATTCCCAGGACTAAAGGTAAGGGCGTCCCAGCCCAGCCCATCCACAGCCCTGGGGTGGGACAGGGCATCCAGGCTCACCGGGCCCTTGCCCTGCCCCGGGGGAGCAGCCCCCAGCACTGAGCCCTCAGAGGGCCCTGGGGCAGCCCCAGCCCTGCCACCGTGGGGCCTGGGGGCACACTGGGGCTCAGCCCCCACGCTCAACACCTTGTGCCGTGTGCCCATAGGGAGAGAAGGGTGAATATGGACTGCCAGGCATGCCGGGAAGCCCTGGCCGGACCGGAGAGACAGGGCCCCCAGGCATGCCCGGTCCCATGGGGCCCCCAGGACCACCGGGGGACTACAGGGTGAGTAGGGGGTCCTGGGCTACAGGTGTTGGGGTGGAGGCACCCCATGCTCATCCCACTGTCCTCTCCTTGCAGTGTGACTTGCGCCATGGAGGGCACCGTGGATTGGCCGGAGCACCGGGCCCCAAGGTGAGCTGGGCAGTGGGCACTGGCAGTGGGCAGGTGGTACCCTGGGGCATGAGGCACAGCACGGTGAGGGGGGCTGGGGGACCAGGGGATCCCCAGAGCTGGGTGCTGACAGGATCTCTCATTTTCCTTCCAGGGAGAAAAGGGCGACCCCGGAGAGCCGGTTTGTAGCCACGAGCAGTGGCAGGGGGAGAACTGGTTGGGGGGTGTCCCCACCCCCACACCTGAGTGTGCATCCCTGAGTCCCCTGTGCTGCCTCTGCTCCCCCAGCACCCTTTTCCTCATCCTAGAGGCAGCACCAGAGACCCCAAATGGGCTGAGGCGCAGGGTGGGGGGCGAGTGACACCATCCCCTGAGGCACATGAAAACACACAGGCACACACGTGTGCATACGTGTGCCAGCACACAGTGCACACACACACGCACCCAGCAGGCCCTGTCCCCAGCACCCAGCTCAGGCTCTAATCCTGCCTCTCTCTTTGCCTCACCCAGGGGTGCTGCTACAAGGAACAGGGGTGCAAACCAGGCCACCTCCCCTTCCCCAGCACCGGCAGCCAGCCCAGCTCCTGGGGGTCCATCAGAGGGTACCAGACGGTGAGTGCTCAGGGGGAGGGACCCCAGCCCAGCCTTGGGGACGTGGATCACCCCACCAGCAACCCCGCAGGGCCCATAGCCCCAGCTGGGGTGGAGGAATGGAGGATGGAGAGGGGGAGAATGGAGGGATGGAGGATGGAGGGTTGGAGGATGGAGATCAGTCTCAGTCTTTTCCCTCTGCCTCTGCAGGACAGCAAAGAGGAACCAGAGATTTATGGAGCGATCATCCCCCATGTGAGAGTCACTGCCTGGCTGGGGTCTGCACTGCCCCAGCCTGGGGATGTTAAGCCCTGGGAGGGAACTGGAGTGGGAAGGATGAGGGGCAGCAGCAGGGTGTCTTATAGCTGCCCTGCAAAAGGCAGCAC